TCCCTCCATCGCGCCATCCGTTGCCACTGAGTGAGCAAAACGAGAAAAATAAAAAGCACAGCACAGGGAGCAGCAATATGAGCATTACTGGTAGTGTTGTTGGTGCTGTTGGCGGCGTTTGCCCAGGTGGACGCTCGCTGGACGTTGCTCGTACCATGCAGATACTGCGCCAGTCGGGAGCCCGGCGGAGGCGCGTGCTGCTGCTGCTGCTGCTCGTAGCCGCCGCCGCCACTGCTACCACTGAACATATCAGGCATCGTACCACCAGCGCTGACGCCACCGCCGCCGCCGCCACTTCCACTCTGCATCATCGAGCACTAAATTCAAGCATAGTTTACACTGCTGCATCGCCGGAAAATGCAGCGTACGCCACATCAGAAACTGCAGTCGCGCCCACAACTGCAGCAGCCCGGGAACTGCCTACGCTGCTTTTCGCAGAGACCCACAGCGTAGCAACAAATCTGGTAAACTGCCTCGCATGCCAGGGGCTGGGAGAGACAGATTCGGCAAGACCCCCCGCCTGATATTCCAGGGCTTGCATGCGGCAACCTAAGCGGCCCGTGTTGCGTTGTTCCAGGTACCAGAGGGGTTCACCCTCGTCGTGCCCCGTGCATGTCAGGCCTATACGCCTTACGTGACGCATGCAGCTGGCCCAGCATAACTCACATAGTTTAGGCTCCGCGCTTCTAAGAAGGTACCGGTGCCTGGCTATAACCCGCTAGGGAAGGTAATGAGACAAACACATCCACGTTCCACCGATGCCCCGCAGAGCGCCGTTCCCCGATGATGTGGTGATGGAAGGGCAGGCCCTCCGTTAGCCTCGAAGCTTCCCTCCGCCCATTCCCCTGCCTCCCGCGCCTCGCCCTCAACGATTCCTCGAAAAACCCGCACTGCTTCCTCACGTTGTCATGCATCACCGCCACCAGTTGGAACCATTACCCGTCAAGATAAGCGACGCGCGGCGCACGCATGTCCTCTGACACACTGTCAAGCCACGTTGCGTCGGCTGGCCGCCCTCAACCCCTGCATATCACCAGCAGCAACCCAACCCAGAAAGTCTGGGACAACCTTGAACTTCCCAGCCAGTGGCCCTCCATCCCTGTGCGGCGGGAAGCACAAGGCCCTATACAGTACAAGCACCAACCCCTGCCC